CACACAAGTCTGAGACCTTACAAAGCTGTTATCACTGCGAGCTGAAACCTGAACTCCTGACAGACAGCTGAACACTTGTTTTCCAGACAGTTATAACTGTATTTCAGTCTTTTCAAAAGAGCCCTGGGGCTCCAAATTCAAGTATACCTCTGGGCTGGGTCCACTGCACCAAGTCATAGGCACAGGGAGCCTCATACCCTCCTTAGATTACTCATTCACCAACAGTGAGCCCCAGGATAGAAGATGCAACAAGAGGACCTCTTCCTCCACAGCAAGTGTTGATTTCAGCCATGGCCTGATGGGAAACAATGGAAATCTTCCTTGAAACTGGGCGGTGCTGAGAGGTGCCTGGCATGCTGATTCCCTTATACTTAACTTCCAGTCTCTGGAACTAGTTCAGCTGGCAGATGAGCTGGTTGATGGCACTCACCCTGATAGCCAGGTGAGCCCATCTCCTTGAGGAAGCCCACTCTATTCTTAGTAGAGTGCCAGGCCACAGACAGGTGGAAAGGGCACAAGAAGCAGGCAATCTCCTGGAAATGCGCCCCTGGGAAGACGATTTCATGGATGAAGTCTTCCAGGCAAATGACACCAAACTTGCCTAGGTACTCCTCGATCACAGTGTTGTCCATCAACGGGAAGGTCTTATTCTTGACCTTGCCCTGTCCACGTTTCAAATGAGTTCCTGGACAGACTTCAAATTTGGAAATCCCCAAGTCACTTCATTTCTAGTCATTTCACACGTGCCCCATCACGCCGCCGCTGCCAGAAATCATGAAGGAAAGATTCCAGTCACTTAAATCTGATATCTTTTACCTTCCTCTCTTTGCCAAAAGTGCCTGCTTTGGGGATAGGGAGATGGCTCAGTAGAATAAACGCTTCCCTGGCAAGCACACAGGCCTGAGTTCAATCCCCGGTTCCACCAAAAAAACAAAAAAAAAAGAAAAAAAGAAAAGAAAGAAAGAAAAAGAAAAAACAAAAGTGCCTGCTTTGCCTGGGTGGCTTTGAGGGCTTGGTAAGCCTTCCTCTTTTTCAGCACATTTTCTGGAACCAAGGGGATCTTTTTTCTTTGGTGTTCTTCCATCATCTTTCCAGCATAAGGGCTCCTGCTCATGCTGGCATGGAAATTTAAAGCAGGTTCTTGTTGGTACACAGCACAAATTAGTTATATATGGGGACAGTAGTTTTTCATCTTCATTTATCTTTGGTGCAGCTTTATGAAATAATTGTTCTGTTAACTGAATACCACTCTGTAATTGAAAAAAAAAAAAAGTTGCAGCTGTTTTGTTAACATTCTGAATGCTTTTAAGTAAATCAAGTTTTTTATTTAAAAAAGCCTATCCCATTTCTCCTCTATTGTTCTACTCATTTTGGGTTTGGCCTGTTCTTAGTTTTTCTAAGGTTTTTTGTGATGCACTGTTAGATTTTGAATTTGAGATCATTCTGCATTTTCATTGTAGACATTGATTGCTATAAATGTCACTCATTACTGCGTTTGCACTATTTTGCAATTTTTGGTATGTATGGTATGTTTCTATTTTCATTTCTTTTGAGACATTTTTAAATTATTGATATGTCGATTTTTCAGAGTAAGTTGTTTAGTTTCAATGTATATATACATAGTTTCTAAAGGTTTTTTTCTTTCTCTGAAGTTTTTTGTTGTTGTTGTTTTGTTTTCTTTTTAGTTTTATTGGGTTGTGGTTAGAAAAAATACTCTCCCCTGTGACCTACCATGTGCTTTATCCTGAAGAATGTTCATGTGCTGTTTAGAAGAAAGTGTATTCAATAGCTATCAAATGAAATATTCTGTAGATATCTATTAAGCTTCATTAAGGCATTGTACAGCAATTAACCACTAAGAAGAATATATGCAGTGTAATATTTGTTGAAACTGTACTTCCGATTTGATTTGAAACTGTCTCGTTGCTATCTGTTTATCAATAAACTTTGAAAATAAAATAAAATAAAAATTAAAAAAAAACACTGCAGTTAAAAAAAAAAAAAGATTCATTAAGGCAAAGATGTAGTTTAAACAAGTTCACAGTGGAACCGTAATTCATGCGTCTCACTGCCGGTGACTCTGATTTGAATTTGATCATTCCTGCATGATTGTCCCATCAGGTGGTTTGTACCACTCTCGAGGTGTCTGTGGTTATAGTAGTGCAAAAAAGACATTGATTTAGCAGACCAGATGACATTATATTGCAGCCCCTTAAGGGAAACATTAAAATAGTATAAAAAGTTATAATGCAGCTAATTTGTGGTATAGCAGTTGTAAATCTGTATTATCTACAGCAGCCCTGCAACACTTACAAGATTTCCATCATAAAATTTAGAGAAGTAATTATTGATAAACTATTCATGAATATAAATAAATTTCTTTTAACTTAGTAAAAAATGATTTTTTTATTATTTTTAATGGTATGAATAATAATATTTATATTTGGGCAGCACTTATTCATATTCAGGCAACTAGATTTGGCCCATTTAATAGACTTAAAAATTAATTTTACTAGTAAAAGATCAACATAAGTAATTAGATCAGTTTGTACTACTGGTGGTACAAGAAACCTGATAGAACAGTCATGTATGTGGTATGGAGTATGTTTTTTGTTTTTACTTTTTTTTTTTTACATTTTAAAGAGAGTACAAATTAGAATTAAAACAAAATTCAAGTGATGCAGAACTTCACTTAACAAAGTAATATGAACTTCACAGTATTTGGTATAATATCAGATATATGCATATAAAATTGGAAGAAGAAAGAAATGTATAAGAAATTAAGAAGAAAAAAAATACAAACAATTGACAAAAGGAAACGAAACAAAGCATTAACTGCTTCTTTCCATAGACCAGCAGAAATGCACAATACAATTGTCCAAACCATCCTGCTTACTTAGATACATAGATAGATCTCTTCCCCCACTCCCTCTCCTGTCCTCCTCAATTCCGTAGTTCTTTTCCATTTGAATAAGTTCATTCCCTTTTTCCAGTGTCTGTTGTACCCTTCAGATTTCATTTTTCTCTTTGAGGTTCTCACACGAAGGAGACAATACGATATTTGCACATGCGGGTTTGATTTATTTCATTTAAGAGTATGTTCTTCAGTTGCATCCATTTACTGACAAAAGACTCAAAATTTATCCTGTTTTATAGCTGGATAATACTCCATTGTGTAAAAATACCACATATTCTTTATCCATTCTTCAGTTGGTGGGCATCTGGATAGTTCCAGGATTTAGCTATGACAGATCAACAGAAGCACATTAACTCTGCTGTATCTTTGTTGGTTCACTGTTTGATTTGTCTGTTGCTGAAAGTAGAGTGTTAAAGCTCTGTGCTGTTGTTTAGTTTGTCTCTCCTTTTAGGATTAATAGTTACTTTATACATATAAGTTCTCTATTATTAGATGCAAATACAATTGCAGTTATTATTTTGGGTTTATTTCTTTTTCTTTTCTTTTTTTCTTTGGTAACCAAGGGTCAAACTCAACTTTATGCCGCTGAGCTATATCCCAGGCCCTATCCTTAAATCTTTAACACTATGATTGATATATAATTTCATGTAAAATATAAGATCCTTCTATAAGTACTCATTCTTACTGTAAAACAGTCCTTATGCTGTAATTTTCATATAGGATATGTTTACATATTCTAGAGAACATCACATTAGATTTTCCTTTAATTTACCATGTATATTTTAAAGATACTAAGAAGGAAACACCATCATTTATATCTAACATTTTTGCTCTTTGTTTTTCCCCCACTGTATATTTCCATATATACAGTGCTTGTATATATGGAAGTGTCTGTCCATTGGGATGCAGCCTTCAAAACCATATCTTCTTTATAATGGGCAGCATCAGAAATCTGTTCTGTTTTGTTGGCTTTAGCTGAGCTGTGTGGAATCTGTCTCACATACACATATTTCAGAGGTCAGCTGGAGATTTGGACAAAGAACATACAGAATTTAGAACTTTCCTTCTATGCCTATTTTCTGGAATTCACTTTCAAGATCCCCAGTGTCCAGTAGAACTTTCTGTAACACTGGAAATTTCTACAATGTATACTGTCCCAAATGATATCATTTGCCACATGTAACTTTTGAGCACTTAACGTGTGGCTCTTCTACCTTAGAAACAGAATTTAAAAATTAGTACACATTTAAATATAGTCATTTTTTGCTAGTGAATACTTTATCAGGCAAACTGTCATTGTAGAAATTTCTGCTGAACTGCATTCTCTTCAGTATTGTGGTCATTCCAAGGTCTGTCTTTGTGTCTAGGTTTTAGCTGGCCTATATAGTCAGACTGGGGCCCTCTTTTAGTTGAAAAAAATAGAGAAAGCAGGAAGCTCCAGTGTTGCTTTTACTTATTTGTGTGAACTCACTCATCTCCAGTTTGACTGGTTTTGATTGTCTCCAACACCATCCATTGAATGGTTTTATGTACTTTTTTTTACTAGAATTTATACATTTATCTGCCACTAATAGGAAGTACTTCATCATTTATCAGAGGCAGAACTCCGCCTCTCTCCTACTCATTTTAATAGAGAACCAGTGGAAGGAATTCGCTTTTATGCTTTCTTTTTAGAATTCTACTAACATAAAATTTTCATCTGTGAATCAAACACTGCTAATGCTGTCACAGTCAACCTGATCTATTATTTTAAGAAAAGCTACCCTAATTCTGTAACCTTATTTATTTATTTTTGGTATGGGGGGTTAAACTCAGCACCTTGTACGTGCCAGGCAGGCACTTATCCTGCTGATGAAAGTACTTGGAAGATTTGTTTTTCCTTTACTTTAATACAATTTTCTATTTTGAACTATTGTAGCCCCTTTTTAACTTCGCTGAAAGTATTCCTAACTTTTAAGGTTACTGAATCTTAATATTCTAAATTTGATATTCACATCTTTGGTATGCTAGAATTTAATGGAATTCTTCAAAGCAACAAGCTCGTATCACTGATAACCAGTTTGGTGTACTTTGCTTTTTTTAGGTACCTGAAAAGGTTTAAAGTGATGAAGATCAAAGTTCTAAGAAGCTGGTGCCGGCAAATCCTTAAAGGTCTTCAGTTTCTTCACACTCGAACTCCACCCATTATTCACCGGGATCTTAAGTGTGATAATATATTTATTACTGGCCCTACGGGCTCCGTCAAGATTGGAGACCTTGGCCTGGCGACTCTGAAGCGGGCTTCTTTTGCCAAGAGTGTGATAGGTATGTTTCCAAATGTACCTTGGAGCCTGGATGGCCTTTTGATGTTCCTTTTATTTAGAAACTTGACTCTGTCTGAGCTTTGCTGACATGAATACACCTTTGAATTTATAGCTTAAACCTATAAGGTGATGAGTTCTACTTGTGAAATGAGTTCTTTGTTTCTGAAATCATCTTCAAGACTATTAATGTTTTATAAAGTTAAGATTTTTTGACAAAACCTAATGAAACAATCTATATAGTAGATACAGTGTATCCCTTTCTTCATGAATTAAATGGAATTTGTATGTATGTAGTTTCTGAAATGTATGGATATGTATTCAGAAGTATTTTATGTTCTTACTCTTTAGAAGTTACGATATAGCTGAACTTTTTCTTTATGTATTTGGTAGAGTCTTGCTACTGAACTCAGGACTCATAGTGATCCTCCTATCTCAGCCTCCCCAGTGCTGGGATTACAGGTGTGCACCACTATGCCCAGTTTTAGTGGCCAGCATGGCACACCTGGAGTTTGGGGGCCCACACAGCTTGCAGTACCAGGGATTGAACCTGGGTCCTTGTACTTGCCGGGCAAGTGCTTAGACCACAAGCTGTCTCCCCAGCCCAGATATGATATATCTAAAACAGGTTTCTCAGCCTTAAAACTATGAGCATTTGTGGCTGGGCAATTTTTATAATGAACTGTTATTACGCATTATAGGATTATTTGGTGTATCATCTCTGGCTTCTACCCACTGAATGCCAGTAGCATATCATCTGTCCATCTACCCTTGATTATTAGAACCAGAAATGCTCTGTGGAGGGCAAAATCGCCTTTTAATGAGAATCAATTGATATAACGAATGAGAATGTCCTGTCAGACTTAAACCATATGTTAAGATTCATAAGAGAAAAGTCTCTGAAGAGATGAAATGGGGAAGAATCCTAGGTAGTAATATGAAAAGTTATTAGAATAGAAAGTTAAATAGAATACTTTTTACACCCATATAGCAATCTCCTTGGTCTGTTGTATAACTAGAATTTTGGAGTGCTGGTTTTATGAACATTGTTTTACAAAGCATTAGTAAGAAGAATGAGAAAAGTTATTTGAAGCTGGATTCATTTTACTTTCCTTACAAGAAGCATGTCTTTCCTTGTCTTTGATGTTTTAAAATCTTCCCAAGAGAGTTACTTTTCTTTGTTTGTTAGGTCATATTATACAAGCATGTTCTTAGAAATGCCCTATATAATTTGAAGTATAAGGAATTATTTTGAAGCATTGCATAACATAGTCTTGTGAAATCACAAATTCTGTGCTCATAATCATTTTATATTTGAGTTCTATGTGTGTGAATATTTGTGTTTTGTTTTGGTTTGGTTTTTGCGTATAGGATATCACTCAATATTTTCTGTACCTGCAGTAGGTATTTTTATGTACTGCAGATGGGATGGTAAGTTCTTGCAAAAGGTTGGTAAGTGGCCTTTGTACAGACAATTTAATTATCTTTAAAAGTATAATAACACTAGGTTTTTCACTTCAAGGCCTCCTTAAAACAAACTAATCAGATGAGTGTTAATGCAGGAGGCTAGTTGTAAATGTTGACTTTGCAGCTGCCATCCAGTAGGGGGCAGACAAGTACTTAATGTTTTAAACCTGTGATTTTATAGGCAGTTGTCATTATATTTACTTTGCTCCCTGCTAGCTTTTTTTACTATTTCTTTCCATTTACTTTAAGCATGAAACATGTTAGTTTATCTCTTAGTCAGTACTCTCTTTAACATAGTATGTGACAGGAATCTTCTTTTTTTTTTAATATGAGGAATCATACACGGGATCTTGTGCTTGCCAGACGGGTGCTGAGGAATGTTTTAAATGGTATATAATCAGATACTTGACCCTGTCCAGTTTCTCATTAAAGAACTTGCAATGGAAGATTTTTTGTGAAATATTTGGTAGAACAAACTGACTTAAGATTTTTTTTTCTTCCCCTCTCCCCCATATTTTGTCTTTTTCCCCTCCAGTTCTTTCCTTCTTTTTTTTCTCTCACAGGTCAACCCCTCTGCTTCTTTCACCTGGTGAATAACACCTACAACTTCTGCTTGCATTAAGTCTGTATCATTCTTTTAATTTAAGGTACCCCAGAGTTCATGGCCCCTGAGATGTATGAAGAGAAGTATGATGAATCTGTTGATGTTTATGCTTTTGGAATGTGTATGCTCGAGATGGCTACTTCTGAATATCCATACTCAGAGTGCCAAAATGCTGCGCAGATCTACCGCCGAGTGACCAGTGTAAGTCTTCCCATACCTGTTGGTGAGCTTTGGTCACATCTAACAAGAAATGTCAAGCTGAGTAATATCCTACCATGCATAAGGGACAATATAGAGTATATACTCAATAAAGTATTGCGAGGAGGGATATTCAGGTATATGCAAGGTTCATGAGATAATGAAAGTAAAGACTGGGCCTGACTTGCATTCACTTATACCTTTTTTAAATAAGATGTGGGGTTTGGGGAAGGAGGTCTTTCTTTCTTTCTTTTTTTTGAATGCACAGGGTCTCCCAGTGTAATTTTTTAAAATTTATTTTATTTATTTATTTATGTGTGTGTGTGTGTGTGTGTGTAGCCTGCTCAGCCCGCCTGGGGGCGGGGCTGGCTAGCATGTGGTGCTGGGGGATTGAACCGCGGTCCTTGTGCTGTACTAAACTTGTTCTAAGTAGGTGCTTTAGACCACTGAGCCATCTCACCAGCCCTCCCAATGTAATTTGGACTGGCCTTGAACTCACTATGTAGCCCAGGCTGGCCTTAAACTTATCACCTGCCTCACCCTTGGATGTTTAAAAATTGCATCCCTGTCACCTACTTTTTAGCTCCCATTAGCCATGCCCAGTGACATATTAACTTATTAAATCATGTGAGTGTCCACAATATTAAAGGTATAAATTAAATCTTTATTGTAATTTAAATTACCTCTGATAGTTGTATGTTTTCTAGAGCTATCAAGTTGTAAACTAAAATGTAGTTTTTAGGGTTCATCATTTTGCTTTACTACTGTTATGTTCCTTCTTTACCCCCAGTATGGATCTTTTGGTACATAACCGTCCATACCATAGAAAATTAATAGATTTCTAGATAACTTGATATCCTGAATCTACTTAAATTATGTGCTACATAGTTTCACAGACATCTGCTAATAGTCCATCTACGAAATAGGCTGTGTCGAGGTCCACAAAAAATATTTTGCTGTTATATTTCTTAGTTTGTTGCCTCTACTTTTTTTGTTTGCATGCCATTGAATCATTAAAGAAATTATTTTGAAAAGTATCATTTCTTTAGACTATATCTTTGCTTCTTGTAGTGTCATTTTTCATATTATTGTCTTCTGTATTTCTGTCTAAAACATTTATCTGAGAATACGTCGACAGTGTAAAAATTTTGTCTTTTATTTGCATTCATGCAAGTTGTATATAGTATAGTTTTCTAGCATTTGTGTGATATGCAGTAGTACCAAAGAGGAAAGACAGAAGATGTAAGGACTCATTTGTCCTCTATTAAACCATAAATATTTTTAAAACATGGCAACAAAAATTCTGGATTTAAAATTTTTAAATGCTATATGATATTAACTAGGTTTGTTATAATTTTTAGTGAATACTTTTAAACATTCTCAGTTTTACTTTTAACATAGTAAATCTCAACAGATGTAACAAATAAACAAAAGCCTACTAATCCCCAGTAATTTTGAATGCAAAGGAATCTGAGTCTGAGAACCAGTGTTCAGAAAGCTTAGACAAAATTTAGGATAAACTCTGTCACAGTATATATCTTATATTACATTAGTTGGTACATAATATCTCCTTAACTCATTCTTAGTAAAGCAGTTTCATTGAACTCTGACAATTAGAAGATGTGACTATAATCAGAATGGAAATTTGATATTTTTTTTAAAACCTAATTAAAAATATTATGTTTGAGGTAAATTAGTTTTACATCTTCGCAAAGGCATGGATGAAATCTTTATAATCAAAGCTTAATTATATTATAATCATTGATTATAATTGTGATGAAATACTACTTGAATGTCTTCTTTGTGTATTTGTGAGTCTTCTTTGTGTGATTTGAGTGCAGCTTCCCAAAGTTTACTTAATACAACATGAATGATAAGTAGTATTATCAAAAAAATAATAGCTACTGTTTGCATAGAAAGCAGAATCTATAAACCTTTCATCCTTTCCTTACCCACCTCCTCACTGTCCTCCTCCCCCTCCTGTCTCTATCTCTCTGTCTCTCTCTGTTAAGACAGCATCTTGCTGTGTAGTCAGGCTGTCCTTGAACTCACTGTAGCCCAGGCTTACCTAAGTCTTCTGGATTATATATCATTGTTACTATTCTTACTGTCCTTCATGCCTAGGATTATAGGCATGCACCATCACACCTGGTTTGTTGATCTCTTTTCCGTACCCACCCATCTTGTCTCACCCCAGAAGTCATGGTAGGCTTATAATCTGTGAAGCACTGATTCTTTACTTGGCCTAGATAGGATCAAGGAAATGAACTTCATTAAAGTCTTCATGTCATTCTATTAAGTGCCATAATCATAATTTTAGTTGTGCCCTGTCTTTGTTCTTTTTTTCTCTTTGCTAGGGCAAATATCTGATATTAAGGAAGAATTAAGGAAGGAAAGGTTTATTTACCTCACAGTTAGTGGATGTTTCAGTCCATACTCAGCTGGCTCCAAGGCAGAGGGATACCTTTCATGAGAAAGGTGTCACTGTTTGGCAGAGGGCAACTTTTCATGGTGGAAAACAGAAAACAGTAGGGAACCAAGGGAGGGGCAGCGGCTGCAGCAGCAGAGGCAAGCCTCTCTCCCCTCCTTACAGATAACCTGCCCCAGGGCAGGAGTAGCACTCACATCCATAATCTCAGCATTGGATCATGAATTAATCACAAACTCTAGAAACCACCATGACTGCATGAGGCTTTTGTGGGGACACCTAGACACAAATCATAGCATTCCCTTTGAACATCAGTCTGCTAATCTGCTTTGCCTATCAGAGTTCTATACCTTTATTCCCAGTTCAGATTTCTTAATATTTCCCCTCCTCCCAATAATTCACATTTTCCCCTTTTTTTATTTTAGGTTCATGATTGTGACACAGTGAATTCAATCATTCTTGTTTACTGAAGTTACAACTAGATACTAAAGCAGTCTGACATTTTATTAAAGTAAGCAGCCAAGTAACAAGAGAAAATACAAGCTAATAAGATTCAAAACTAGGGCTGGAGAGATGGCTCAATGGTCTAAAGCACCTACTTGAAACAAGCTTGGCAAAGCACAGGGACCGCGGTTCGATCCCCAGCACCACATGCCAGCCAGCCCCGCCCCCTGGTGGGCTGAGCTGGCCACACACAATAAATAAATGTAATAAATAAAAATAAATAAATATTTAAAAAAAAAAAGATTCAAAACTAGAGGGGAAGGTACCAAAAACTGCTATAGGTCAAAGTTAATTTATAGATCAGTATGTTATGAGTGATGTTCATAACAGTAAAACATGTTTCTATTGTGTGACTTTCAGCAAATCACATCTAAGCCTTAATTTTCTTATATGAATGATAGTCTTTATTGCCAGAATTACTAAGATCATTGTAAAAAACATGCATTGAAATTATATGAAACAAAGAAATTGCATAAGAAAATGCACTTGCAAAAAAATAAATTTGAGGGAGGCCTTCCCCTTAGCTCAGTTCTTTAAGTGGCTGCTTCAACAAAGCAGGTCAGGCTCAGGTTGCTGTGGTTCGATCCCCACAGCTCAAGCCTGCCAAACCTGCCCTGAAGGCATTCGGAGCAAAAAAAAGAAAGAAAAATAAATTTGAGGTTTAGATACATCTCCAACTTTTCATGAAAATAGTAAATATGTGACAGATTATTCCACAGAAAATGACTATCTAGACAGTAAAATTTAGAAGTACAAATCTAATTACATAATCAGAGAATAGCCTTTGACAAAGTATGCTTTCTCCAGTGTATTTTCTTTTGTATTTTAGGATTTTTCTTAATCTGATGTGGTTTATTTCGTTTTGTTCGTGTTTTGAGTTTTTGTGGGGCAGAGTCTCACTGTGTAGTTTAGACTGGCTTTCAACTCATTATATAGCCCAGGCTAACCTCACAGTGATCTTCCTCCCTCTGCCTCCTGAATGCTAAGATTACAGGCATGCACCACCATGCCCAGCTGATCTGATGTTTCTATATTTATAGATATTCCTATTCTGTTTTATATAAAAGGAATCATATAGTATGTAGTCTTTTGTGACTAGCTTTTGCTTTGCATGTTTTTAAGGTTTGTTCATGTCATAAATGTTCAGTTAAAGGGCTATCACAATCATCTAGGAAAATGACTGAAATATTGATATGTATGAGTGATAGCCAAAGTGGGTGGATTAGAGAAAATTTTAATGTATTTAAATTGGGTTCTTTTTAATATTTATGAATTATATGCCTATTTTATATATGTATACTTAATATCAAAATACCAAGTCTAATTGTGAGGTTAAATACATAGCTTAAAACTTCAGAATTATAAAATTTGTTTTTTGACACAGGGTCTTGCTATGTATAGTTTAGGTTGGCCTTGAACTAAATCACTGTGCAGCAGAGGTTGGCCTCAACTATTACAAGCATGTATCATTGAGGCTAGCTTAAATTTATGATTTAAAAAAAATGGGGCTCTTAACAAAAAATAATAGCTCTTGCTTTACCAAGAATATTGTTAAAACATACACACACACAATTTTTTTTTTCCTGTGAAGAGTTCTGTAAGTAATTCCTTCTTTTTTTTTTTTTTTTTTTTGCGGAACCAGGGATTGAACTCAGGCCCTTGCGCTTTCCAGGGAAGCACTTATTCCACTGAGCCATCTCCTCGGCCCCTATAAGTAATTCCTAATTTTAAAAATGTGGTGATCTTTTTTTTACTAGAATTAGAATGCATTGCTTAAAATTTCAGTTAATCTGGAGGCTCAGTCAATAAAACTACAAATTTGAAGCCAACCTGGACAGTTTAGTAAGACCCTATCTCAAAAAAATGAAAAAAAAAAAAGCACTGGGGCTGTAGCTGAGTGGTAGAGTACCTTGGATTCACTCCCTGGTATCACTATTTGGTATTTTTTTATTTCTTAATGATAACCATTCTTTCTGGAGTAAGAGGGGACCTTAGCGTTGCTTTAATTTACATTTCGCTAGTGAACAGAGCTGTTAACCTTTTTTTCATATATTTGTTGGCCACTTGTACT